CAAGCCCAGATGCTGAACTTCAGAACAGAGAAGTGACAGAAAGAGGTTCCTGGTCCTTAGAGGGATATGTCTATATCACTGGCAACCTAAGGGGAAAAGAAAAATCTTTCATCTTTATGTTTTCTGTTATGTATCTTACAGAGTGGTGATGCCTGACGTGGTAGCCACTGGCCACACGTGGCTTAGCACGTGGCTAGTCAGATTTGAGATGTGCTGTAATTGTGACATATACACTGAGTTTCGAAGAGATAATATAAAAATTTGGAAAATATCTCAATACTCTTTTCTATTGATTACGTGTTGAAATGATAATATATGTTGGCTATATTGGGTTAAAGTATGCTATTAAATTTATTTTTTACTTTTAAAAAGTGAGGTTACTAGAAAATCTAAAATTGTGTTTGTGGCTTGTATTATATTTCTATTGGACAGACCTTAGAGAGAAGACCCTGTATCCAAACAGCTCCCAGCATGGCTGGCCCTCCTGCCTTGGTCAGGCGACACACGTAACACCCCTAAGAGTTGTGCTCTGGAACCCCGCGCTGCAGTGGGACCTCGCCTCTGTAGGGGCAGGCTTGTGAGGACGCTGCTCGTGACGTGGCCTTGAACAGTTCCTGGGAGGAGCAGCCCCAGGGAGCTGGGGACCAGGCTGGTTCTTGCCTGGTTTGCGGATAGGTAAGTAACTCACATTTAAAAACACTAGAATCCCCTCAGGCACAAGATGCCCACACTCTGAGATTCTCATCCACCTGTGCCGCTTCCCCTGAGCCACACCCTTGGGGCACTGGAAGCCCTTGGGGTCACCAGCACTAGTTACAGCTTGTCTTTTTCTTTATTCCCCCCAAGCACATAAGTATGAAGTTGCTGTAAGGCAAATCATGCGCATGGAGCAATTCCACTGACTTTCATACACCCACCCCCATTTACTACTTATTAAAATTGGCTGTTAGTATTCCATTACATTGCCCACATACACAGTTTAACTATTTCCCTGTTGTTCAACATCAGAATTGTTTCCCTTTTTTACCTGCCATCATAAACAGCAGTGCTATGAATATCTTTATCTTTTTTCTGTTTGAATTATTTTATTGTAATATTTTCCCTGAAGTGAAATTGGTTGGCTGGAAAGTATATACAGTTTTATGGTTCCTGTGTCTTTTTTCCTTTAAATCACTCTCCCAAAAGACTGTATCACTATGTATTTTCTCCAGTGGAGTGTCTGTATGTGTATACATTGGTTTCCCACAGCCCTGCCAGCTTTGCGTTTGACCATGTGTACTCATTAATGCTAATTAATTGGTGTATAACAGATAACTCCTAGATATTATCCTTTCATTTGTTCAACTGCAAATGAGAACGAGTAGAGTCCTCCCCTTAAAACCCACAAAAATTAAATAGCCTCCAGCTCAATAATTTAGAAAAACATTTTTTAACTTCCTCCATTTGCCAGCATTTGGGGTACCTTAGCAGCCCCGAGGCTGCGATGCAGCCGGCCAGGCCCAAACTTTGCCTCCTGACCCGCTGTCATCATAATGGTCCAAGATGCCACCTCCAGCGAATAAAGCCATTTATCTCCTCCCAACAAACTGAAAATATATCAGACAGTCCTTCTTCCCTGTGTGGTTTAGATGAATCCTGGCATTGCTTAACTGCCATATGTTGATTGTTCAGGACTGAGAGACATTCTGGTTTATATACAAAAAGGTTGCAGCAGACATGGCTGATGTTCTGTTCATAGCTTATTAAAACCTCAGGAAAGGGCTTCCCTGGTGGCGCAGTGGTTGGGAGTCCGCCTGCCAATGCAGGGGACATGGGTTCATGCCCCGGTCCGGGAAGATCCCACGTGCCGCAGAGCGGCTGGGCCCGTGAGCCATGGCCGCTGAGCCTGTGCGTCCAGAGCCTGTGCTCCGCGACAGGAGAGGCCACAACAGTGAGAGGCCCGCGTACTGCAAAAAAAAAAAAAAAAAAAAAAAAAAAATCTCAGGAAGGCCCCAGCCCCCTCCCAAGGGGAACTCATAAAACATCATCCTTGTGGAGCCACATCCTGGCCTGGCTGGAGACTCGACAGGCCCGGCTCAGAGGGAAGAAGAGAAAGGATGCACCCGCTTCCCCACTAGATGGCACCTCTCAATAAGTAACGGGGAGAGGACCCTTCCTCCACACCCTAAGCCCCAGTCCTCCCGCATTGCAACACACCCCGGTGTCTGCTTCCAAAAACCAGAAAAATAGAAAAGTTCATTCTAGCTAAAAATACACCATCTGCCTGGAAAAATCTCACTCGGCACTGTCGCGTCAACACCGAAGCAGGTTAATAACCGGCCCAGAGCAGAAGGTTTCTTTGTATAATTACTGGGTCCCCCACCAAGGCTTCCTCCTCAGCTACCTCCTTAGGCTCCCGCTGCTGGCACTCTCCTGCTGCTTCCTGGCCACAAGCCGCCACCGCCCCGCCAGCCCTCTGCTCAGGCCAGGGCCCCCTCACTCTCTGCCAAGCCTGGGCCATGGGGCCCAGGGGCTCTCAGCACCGCCTGGGTAGGTGGCCGCCAGGTGGTCACCCTGGCCTTGTCAACCCCACTCATAATCCAAAGATAAATGACTCGAACCAAGATGTCAGTAATCACCCATTAAATTAATAGAGCTTTAAGACACTCTCATTCTACTTCTTGGTGAGGATGTGATGAGATGTGCACCCCCAAAACCTGTTGCTGGGAGAGCAAATGATTGATACTGCCCCTCTGGAAAGAATTTTGACCGAATAGAACGACAGCCTTAAAAAATATTACATACTTTTTAATCCAGCAATTGAGGAATCTATCTTACAGACTATCTATGATAATCGAAAATATGAACATATTCTGTGTGCATAACATATGCACACAAAAATGTTCACAAAAATGCAGCACTATTAATAGTGAAAACCTAGAAAGGACACTACAGCAGGTATGTATATGTGGTTTAGTGCAGTGGAATATTATAAAGCCATTACACATGTTTACAAGAGATTTCAAAATACATCACAAATGTTATTTAATGTTAATTGGTAAGAGTGTTCAAAAAGGTCTAAACAGTAAAGATGCAAATATGTTAGAAATACACATACATAGCATTAAAATGTTTGCACAAAATATGCCAAATTTGTGAACAGTGGCTTTCTAGGTGGTGACACTTTTTTTTTTTTTTTTGGCTGTGCTGGGTCTTAGTTGTGCCACACGGGATCTTTCGTTGCAGTGCGTGGGCTCTTCGTTGTGGCAGGCGGGCTTCTCTCTAGTTGTGGCGTGTGGGTTTTCTCTCTTTCCAGTTGTGGCGTGCAGACTCCAGGGCGCGTGGGCTCTCTAGTTGAGATGCGCGGGCTCAGTAGTTGTGGCACACGGGTTCAGTTGCCTGGAGGCATGTGGGATCTTAGTTCCCCGACCAGGGATCAAACCCTCATCTCCTGCATTGGAAGGCGGATTCTTTACCACTGGACCACCAGGGAAGTCCCATGGGTGGTGATACTTTTAATGGTTCTTATTTCATTATACTTTTCTGGATTTTTCTGTTTTCAGCAATGAACACTGACAAATAAAAGAAAAGAATACTATTCATTCAATGACTATCTAAAAACAGAGTTAAAGGAATGTACAAGAAATTGGTATAGTGGCTGTATCTAGAAAGGGGGCTGGAGCAGGGGTCAGTATAGGAGGACGCCTTCCTTTTCCATTTGTATCTTCTGATGTCTTCTAAGTTTTGTACCAGGCTTGTATTACCTATTCAAAAATAAATAAATGAAAAAATTTCAAAGAAGATGCAGAAATACTAAAGCCACAGTTGCTGGGAGTAGAGTGTGAGGGGAAAGCAAGGAAAGTGCTTTCAGCTCCTGAGGGAGATGAGACTCAAGGCCTGGACTCCTCTTGGGCCCAAAGTCTACCGCAAGTCACCCAGGACCTGGCTAGGCCAGTGACTTTATTCTGTAAGGCCTGCTTCATCTGACCCCAAATTGGTCAGGAGTCAGGCCATCTCCTCCCGAGAGTGGTTTTCCCAAGGGTAAAGGTAGGCAGGCCAGGGAAGGGAATCCAGGGGACACTGGTGCAGGACCTCCGAGCTGGGACCACCTGTGTCCCCTGGGCCTGGCAGAGTAGGACCCAACACACGAGTTGAATTGGTGGGGCCCCCCATAACTACCCAGTCACCTTCTATGAGTCAGGATAATCATCTAAAAGGACCCCACCCTGCCCCCCATCAACCCAAACAGTGCAAATGTCCAAAGTGGCTTCATCAACCCCAGGAGTGTGGCCTGTAAAGGGCACCTGATGTGTGCTAGATAAGGCCGGATAAAGAGCAGCTTTTCTGGGCTTCCCTGGTGGCCCAGTGGTTAAGAAGCCACCTGCCAGTGAAGAGGACATGGGTTTGATCCCTGGTCCGGGAAGATCCCACATGCCGTGCAGCAGCTAAGCCCGTGCACCACAGCTACCGAGCCTGCGCTCTAGAGCCCGCGAGCCACAACTACTGAAGCCAGCGAGCCACAACTACTGAAGCCCGCGTGCTTAGAGCCTGTGCTCCGCAATAAGAGAAGCCACCACAGCGAGAAGCCCGCGCGCAGCAACGAAGACCCAACACAGCCAAAAATAAATAAATAAATTTATTTTAAAAAAAAAGAGGAACTTTTCTGAGATAAAAGCTTGATCCTTCCTTAATCACCCTGGGTTCTAATTTGCCCTGAAGTTTTCTTTACACACACAGAGGTGCGGGATACTGACTCTGCTCAGCAGGGAGGACAGTGCAGCTTCCTGCCAGGCCCCTGGGACCCAAGGGACATCCTGTGGCTGCCAGGGAGGCTCGGGGCAGTGTGTGCTCACAGGCAGCACAGGGCACCACAGCAGCCTGGAAAGTCAGGTCGCAGGCCCTGGAATCCGGAGCTTTCATTCCTTCTTTAAAGTCACAAATCTGACACCTTCCCTTCCCTTGTGCTCCATGTGTACAACTTCAAATGTCAGAGACACTTTACACAAATAGGTGGAGAAAAGGACTGTTCAGAAAACATTTATTGTAGTTTGATGACACTTGTCAAACTGTGGTTCTGAAAGCAAAGCAAAAATAATATTAGGGGAAACTTAGGGTGGACTCATTTCTTAGAGAAAGTTTATGATTCTACCACTTCAGAAAGAGCAATAATTTACTGAAAATATTTAATTTAAAAAACAGAACTCAGGAACTACTATGACTTTTCAGATGGGGAAAGCAAGCCCCTGGGAGGGTGAGAGCCCAGTCGGGCAGCTACTGGGGGAGGGGCTGGGTGCCACTGACGTTTGTGGCTTCACTCAGCAGGCCGACTGCCCCCTCCCTGAGACCACTCACAAGTCACTGGGTGGGGAAGGGGCATTCAAGAGGTAAACATGATTCCAGCAGGGGACAGCTCCAAGGTCCCAAGGGAGGGCTGGTCCTGCAACGGCTGCCTGGACAGGCGTCATCTTCACACGATGAGATGAGAAGGCTGAACGTGAAGACCTTCTTCCAGCTCCTGTGTGAGAGTAGATTCAGAAAACTGCCGCTACGCGGCAGCAGTCACGGCTTTACTGTTCACCAGCTTCCCAGCTGAAGGGTTGTCAGGGCACACAGGTGCACACAGCCACAAAACACGGCATCTTCTCAAATAATTCCAGAACATGATATGGCACAGCCCCAGCCTCTCCAGCAGGAGATTTCGCTACAGTTTAGGGTAATATTCTGATGATGTGGGGCTTCCTGCAGCTCCCCAGTCACCTTCCATGAGTCGGGGGGAATCATCTAAATGGACCCCGCGTCCCGGAGCAGAGGCCTAGTCGTCGTACTGCACTTCCGCCCGGAGCTCCTTGGTGACGTAGTTGGCCAGCATCGCCAGCAGCTTCTGCTGCAGGGCCTCACTGCCCATGACCAGCATGGTCAGCTGCACGGCGTCCGTCCACTGCAGGTGCCTGACGATGGCAGTGGCTTCGTTAAAGAGCTTCTGCTGCTCGGCAGGTGGCAGCTCCATTATGATCTGAGGAACTGGCTTAAACTGTCCACTTGTCATCCATGCGCCTAACAAACCCCCGACGGCCCCCCCTAGAAAACAGGAAGGACTCAATTAGTCGGTCATTTATATTCATAAACGATAGTCACAGGTTCTCGCTGAGTTCACATCTACCGTTGTGACGAGTGGGCACATTCATGAGCGGGTCAGAATGGGCTTGGCTTCATGCCTGCTCCGCCAGGAGGGCAGAGGGCAAAGGTTGACGTGGCCTTTGGTCGATTTGGCTCAGATAATTGACACCCAAACATGCCCTCCCCTAAGCTCTGCGCTCACAGTGCAACACAAAGCATCTCCCCTCCTGAGAGCTGTGCTAACTAAAATCCTCTTCGTGGGCGGAAGGTTTCCATGCTTCTCATAAAAATCTCTCTCATCTCAAAGAACAGGGCTGAGAAGCAAATGCATTTTCAGGGAGAACCATCTCAGTGGTGAGGCTGAGTTTCCTCCACTGGATGGCTAATATGAGTCTCAGCCCTGAACTTTGAAATTTCCAGTGGAACCACGTGGTTATAAAGGACCCTGCAGACAGATGAGGAGGTATTTTCTCTTGAAACAATGTTTTTCATACAACCCCTCCAAAGTTGTATGATGATAAATAACAAATTTAATGTATTCAACTACTTCTCTTTCTGCTACCCCAAAAGGGCACAAACATTATTTTTAAATGTCAATTTCTTATTATCAAAGTTAAAGCACACTATTTTGGAATTTGAAGACCTTGTATCAATGGAAAGTTCTATTTAACCAGGTCAGGTGCAGTCTGCTACAGGAAGATGTCCTAGAGCAGGGGTCTCAAACTCAAGTGCTTACAGGGGTCAGGCAGGTAGCTGAAAGGACTGAAGCAAGCTGAGTGGGACTATGGTGACCTGGAGAGACAGGTCGCTGTCTAAAGGAGACATGGCTACCCTACGCCAGCCACTTGCTGCCACATGGAATACCAAGTATGTATCTTTTAAAAGTCTTATGAGTTTTATTTATTTATTTATTTTTGTGGTACGTGGGCCTCTCACTGCTGTGGCCTCTCCCGTTGCAGAGCACAGGCTCCAGATGCACAGGCTCAGCGGCCATGGCTCACGGGCCCAGCCGCTCCGCGGCATGTGGGGTCTTCCTGGACCGGGGCACGAACCCGTGTCCCCTGCATTGGCAGGCGGACTCCCAACCACTGCGCCACCAGGGAAGCCCTGATTTTTAAATATCGGCAATCAGATATTGAAAAGACGCAGCCCAGCTGGACTTGGTGACTTTCTTTAAAAGAGTAGAGTATGGAAAAGGGAAACAGTAACTTTGCAGTGGAGAAACCTGGCGGACATGACCTTAGCCAGGTGATCAAGGTGAGCATCACAAGGGAGGTCCTGTGGGTGTCATATGTCCCTGAAATGTGTGACAAGAAGGGCACTGCACCTCCACGGTATTCTTTCCAAAGATCCATAACCACAGTCTACTCGTGAGAAAGACATCAGGCAAACCCAAATTGAGAGGAGCTCTCCAAAATACCTGACCAGTACTCCTCAAAAGTATCAAAGCGGTAAAAAACAAGACCAGAGAAACCCTCAGAATGGGAGAAAATATTTGCAAATGAAGCAACCGACATGGGATTAATCTCCAAAATATACAAACCGCTCATGCAGCTGAACATCAAAAAAAGAAACAACCCAATTCAAAAATGGGTGGAAGATCTAAATAGACATTTCTCCAAAGAAGATATACAGATGGCTAAAAAGCACATTAAAAGATGCTCAACATCACTAATCATTAGAGAAATGCAAATCAAAACTACAGTGAGGTACCACCTCACACCAGTCAGAATGGCCATCATCAAGAAATCTACAAACAATAATAGCTGGACAGGGTGTAGAGAAAAGGGAACCCTCATGCACTGTCGGCGGGAACGTAAACTGGTACAGCCACTATGGAGAAGAGTATGAAGGTTCCTTAAAAAACTAAAAACAGAGCTACCATATGATCCAGCAATCCCACTCCTGGGCATATATCCGGAGAAAGCCATAATTCAAAAAGATACATGCACCCCAGTGTTCACTGCAGTACTATTTACAATAGCCAGGACATGGAAGCAACCTAAATGTCCATCGACGGAGGAATGGATACAGAAGATGTGGTACATATATACAATGGAATATTACTCAGCCATAAAAAAGAATGAAATAATGCCATTTGCAGCAACATGGATGGACCTAGAGATTGTCATACTGAGTAAAGTAAGTCAAACAAAGACAAATATCATATGATATCACTTATATGTGGAATCTAAAAAAAGGTACAAATGAACTTATCTATGAAACAGAAAGAGTTACAGATGTAGAAAACAAACTTATGGTTACCAGGGGGTAAGGGGGAGGGATAAACTGGAAGACTTGGATTGACATATACACACTACTATATATAAAACAGAAAACTAATAAGGACCTACTGTACAGCACAGGGAACTCTACTCAATACTCTGTAATGGACTATATGGGAAAAGAATCAAAAAAAGTGGGGTAAAAAAAACAAGACTGGGGAGACTGAAGAGACATGACAATTAAGTGCAATGTGCTGTCTTGTGCTGGGTCTGGGACAGAAAAAGATCATGGATGCAGAAACTGATAAAATCCAAATATAGTCTGAAGAATAGTTAATAGTAATGTTAGTGTTGGTTTCTTAGTTTTGACAAGTGTGCCTTGGTAATATAGGAACTGAAACTGGGTGAGAGATATATGGGAATTCTCGGCATTATCTTTGCAACTTCTCTGTAAATCTAATATTATTCCAAAATAAAAAGTTTATCTAAAAGAATGCAGCCCAGGCCACAGAGAACCCATCTGCAAGCTGGACTCAGCCAACAGTAAGTAAATCTTGCACCATCTCAGGAAACCAAGTATGGAGGCACCTGGTAGCACACACCTTCTCTGGGGACCAGCCAGCCTCATGTCCTAGAGGCTGAACACTGCCCTTAGACAGCTTCCCCCCAGTCTGAAAATAGGGAGCATTCTAGGGAGGGAGGGCCAGTCATTTACAAGTTTTACTGAACTTTTCCCCATGACACCAGTGAAACACTTAAGAGCTGATAAGAGTTGCACTCATGTGCACTAAACCTTGGTGAGAACATCAATATTTGATTTAGAGCAGCACTTAATGCAAAAAGTCGCCAGGAAATATCGACCAGAAAATTACCAAGTCTTTGGAGAAGAGAAAATTCCTTTGTTTTCTGGGTAAAATGATGCTCCTGCCCATGACCAGGGGCTGCAAGTAGGGAATCCCTGGGGTTCTCTTTGCAGACATCCTGTTCTCTACCAGCTTTTACTCAATCTGAATAAAATATGTCCTCCCAAAATGGCATTTGGGCACAGCTATGTGATAAATGATCCCAGCTAGCCTTCCCTGAGCCCATTAGATGGGGTGGGACAAAGATACAGGATGTCACTGAGGAAGAAGGCAATGGCCTTGTCTCCTCCCTCACGGGCTACTTCCTGGATGGCAAGAAGCTGAAGTCAAGACTCACTAATTCACAGAGTCTGGAAATGGAAATGCATAGATGGAAGGTCTGGGGCCACCCACAGCCTGATTTTTCTCCCCGGTGTGGGCTCAGCTTAATACAGTGTCCTTGAATGTCAATCCTGCTACCAGAGGGAAGAACAGAGCAGGAAGCCTTACTGGTGAGCTGGGACACAGAAACCAACCTCAGCAGAAAAGTGGTCACCTCTCCAGCCTGTATTCATGTGAAGACTGCAAGCCATACAGAAAGGACTTCCACCAGACTGTGAGCTTTCCCAGGCCCTGTATCCCACCACAGGCTGCCTGGCACAGAGGAGGCATTCAGTAAATATTTACTGAGCCCAATGCAGCAGACCATGCCTTGAGCCGATGCCCCTGTGTTGCAGAGTCCATCTGAGGCACCTCGAGGGAGGCCTTATCTGGCCCCTCCTCAAGTCAGACCTGGACAGCAGCCAGCTCTCTGACACCACCCCTAGCCCATGGTTTGGGCCACAGAGGAATTCTTCCGGTTCCTAATCCAAAGGAAGCAACTTCATTCTAGCAACAATGAATGATGGGAAAATCAGCCAAAGTTTCATTTATTGCCAGAAACGGGTTCCCAAACAGAAGCAGGTGGTAAAAGAAGGGGACAGGGGTGATCACTCCACGAGTTAGCTTATTGCTTTTCCTGCGTTGGACTGCTTGCTTTCAGAATGGGGAAGCGCTCTGGGAACAAGCTTATGTAAAGTGGCTCTACAGCATCAGCCCCCAGTAGGTGCCTGGCAAATCTCAGCTTCCTCTCTGGATGTGTAATGGTGATGGGGGGAGGGAGACTGTCCAAGGGACCCAGGATACCCTGAAATCTTCAGACTCTAGGACACATCCCTGGGGGGAAAGGTGTCCTCCAGGGCTGCATGACAGATGCCATTTGGGAGAGCCCTGCACTTCTGAGACATTCACACAGAAGCTTGTGTTTTTAACAGGATGACTTATGTACCCAAAGATCATTTCACAGAAGCAACCTCAACTCAACAAACTTCTCACACAGGGCAGAGGCTTTTATGAGGTCTCTGAGGTTTCAAAGGTCTTTTTTTCCCCAACAACTGCACTGTCCCTGTGAGGCACTTGCACTTACCAACGGCTAGTCCTGGTGGGCCGCCCACCAAACCACCAACGAAGGCCACGGCCCCTGTGACCAGGGCGCCCCTCCCGGAGTGCCTGACGGCCGCCCTCATTTTCCTCTCCTCAGAGACGGAGCACAGCAGCCTCATGATGTCCTCCACCGCGACGGGCATCGCAGCAGACCTTGAAGGAAGCATTCCAAAGGAGAGTTTTAATGAGTGAAGCATATTTCTACCCAAATGTTACTCTTCCTAAAGTTTTAAGGAAGGTTCCCCATTTTTGGTACAGAACAGTACCTCTGCTGTATGCACGATGACAGCACTCCCCGGTCATGTGCCAAGTCCTTTGCCAAAGAGAAAGCAGGGCAGCTTTCAGTTAATAAGCAGACTGAATCAGCAGGGTGGATGAAAGGTCTTCTCTGCCCTCTGATTAACTTCTGATTTACAACAGGTTAAGGAGCAACGCTGGCCACATGTTCCACCAGTTCATCACGAGTGAGGCAAGTCTGAGCTCTCTTGCATCAGGGCCTTTCAGCTGGCTCAGGCAATCCCCGAGCGCAAACCTTGGCCGACTGCACAAAGTCCCAGCCCCTGGTCGTCTCCTGTGTGACAGGGCATCTCTGCCCACGCCAAGCCAGAGAAGGGGAAAGCACAGGACTCTGCAACCACACAGCCTTCACCCACTGGATGACCCTGAGCAGAATGGCAGATTCTTCACCTGTAAGATGGAGATAAACCACCTATAGGCTGGATTCTTGCAAAGTGTAAGTAGAATGGAAGCAAAGTGCCTGGAGCGAGTCTGGAACACTGCAGACTCTCAGACATGATGGCTCTAAATGAACGTTTGGTTCCTAACATACACCACTGGCTTCTATAAGCAACCACTCATAGAGTCAATCCAGTTCTACTCATGAGACATCAAAGGCAAGGACAGGATGATGTAGTAAGGTGAAACAACCAGAGAATAAAAGAAATCAAAGAATTCCAGGGGTTTGCATATGGATGGACAGATGACAGATGGATGGGTGTACTTTGGAACAATGACCTTTAGAAAAATTCTCTGGGGTCAGGAAACTGTCTGCCACACTAGCAGGAAAACGACAGGCAGGGGCAAGGGTGAGGGCAGGGCAGGCTCCGCCCCAAGGTTGGTGGGAATGGAGAGCTTTGGCACTGATGGGCCACCTGGCAGGATAGGAAGTAAAATCAAAGCAGCAATGAGCAGGTGATTCTCCTTCCAGCTTCGGCTAGACCCAAGGCTTGATGGGCACTTTCCTTTCTCACCAACACTCCCCTTTTCATTTAAGGCTGAGACATGCAAACATTCACTAAAGGAACTCGACTGTGGAAGTTTGGAGCAGACTCTATTACTCAATATCTTTTGGATATATGAGGTTTTTTTTTTAAACCCAAGAATAATCCAGAATTAGTCTCTAATGTAAAATTATCCTCCCAATCCCAAGAGAGAATTCTCAGCCCTTAGAACAAATCTGTGGATCTCCTGTATCACCAGTCAGAACGTCTTTGTAGTCCCAGGAGAGGTAAGAGGGATCCTGTGCTCCAGCCCCTGTAAATTTCCCCTCTTTTCCTTTTATATTCTTGACATCAGTGATTCTCCACCAGTGCACAGGAGTCACTGAAGATCTTGTTAAACACGGCCCCTATGGGCAGGGTGAGATTCTGTATTTACAAGCACCCTCAGGTGATCTTCTGCCCTCACTTTGGACAGCAAGAGTCTATGAGAGCATGACTCAAGATGTCTGACGTCTGTTACTCAGTCCTTGAGTTCAGAAATGCAAAGAGGCATCCCCCAGATGTGTCTGTTCACCAGGGGTGTGAGAGGCAGTGGAGGGGCAGTCCTGCAGGGTTGCCCAATGGACTAGAGGAGAATTCAAGTGTGTTTGTCCTTGCTCTGTCTCCCAAGTGTCCTGGGTCTGCTAAAATGCCTGCTAGCTTCCAGGCCCCTCTGCTCACCAGCAGTGACCACGTGTAGACAGAGCACATGCCCCCTCCTCCTCCCTGCAAGAGAGCCCCCTTCCACCCTTCCAGAGGTCAAGAATTTTCCAGGCACAACTGTCAAGATAACATTATAGCATTAATAACAGCGAAGGAACTGCACTCAGAAGTGGGGGGAGAGAGAGTAACCTGATTTACCCAAAAGCCATGGTCCTGTAAAGCTATGCAAACAAAATGTTTAATTTCAAGTACATATTAAGATAACCAAAGGAATTAATTTCATGGTAAAACCTTTCAAAAAGCTAAAAATCCTCCTGTAAAATATCTAGTCACCTTCTAGCTTAGCTCTGGTTTATATCCAGCTTTTTATCTGTCACTTATGCTGAAAAAAGGGAGATGAAGCACAGGTCCCTCGAAGGCCCCTCTGGAGGCTGCAATGAGCCTCCCATTCCCAGAGGCATGAAGACCTTGAGCCTTGCCATGCTTGATCTGCAAGTCTGGCTTCTAGGCCAGTGTACTCTGCCCAGATGCCACTCCTAAAACAGGTTTTCTGCAGAATTATGGATCTGTACTCTTGAAAGAGTTTCTGCACAGCAAGAAAAGGTATGTAAAAGAGGAAGGAAATAGATATATACCCGTTTCACCCTCTACTGTCTATTAAAAAAAACCCACAAAACAAAAACCAAAAAAACAGTTTCCAACCTGCTCTGAATGACTTTAGGTCGAAACCCACAGGGGCTAATGAGACATCACTGTGCAAACGCCACTTCCAACCTCCACTTAGCCCAGTTGGGCCAGCACAAGGCACAAGCCCAGAGCTCTGTAGGACTGGAGAGCTAGCAGGTGTCATGGTGTGTGGGAGGGGAGGCAAGGAAGTGGCCTGATTCCAGCTGGGTTCAATGGTTCCACACCATGGGTAGAGAGGTGGCATTGTGGCTGCCTCCATCCAAGGGAATGCTGGTTTAATTTCCTTGTAAGAATCATTTAGAAGTTAGAGCATCAATAGACTCTTGCTGGGGAAGAAAGGTTTGCAGCCCTATCTCCTGAGCCCTTGCTAAAAAGCTCAGCCTCCCAACTTCTCCAGGGCTGCCAGATTGAGAAAGGAAGCCGGTCCTGCTTCTCCTTCTCCCACTCCAGCTGCCTTTGTCTGTAAGCAGTAGAGAAGCGGGTGAGGAGGGAGGAGACAGGAGCACTCTGATGGGGACAGACCTCAATGGGGCGGGAGTGTGCCTCCCCCCATATCACACCTATTTCAGAATCAGATTTGTCCACGAAACAGGCTCCGGTCACAGGAAGCCCATCTGCCAGCCACAGGGAAGGCAAATGCCAACGTGAAGCCCTGGTTTCGTGTAAGCACCCAGGCTGGTCTGCCGATTACAGCAGGGATCTGGGGGAGAGGGAGATGAGCCCACCCCTGAGACTATAGCCTGGCTTTCTGAGGTGGACCAGATTGTGAGAGATGAGGAGAGGAAGGCTGCAGAGCTAACACAGACCTCCATGCACACAGCTCTTTTTAAAAATTAGAAAAGCAGGGCCACTTAAGAATCAGAGTGATGTTGCCCACCTGCAATCCTCAGTACTTTCTACTTTGCTGGTGAAATTTACAAAGCTCCAGTGTGCCCACTGGCTCCTATAAACCGTGTCTTTCCACCTCTCTATGCCCCAGGGCAAAGATTGGATCCCATCAGTAAACATTGTCAGATTAGCCCACAGACTTTTTAAAAACGAATTAGTTGCCAGAATTTTAAAATCAAGAGATTTCACATACACCTCAGACTTGTGATTTCTCCTGAAAAATCAAAAGCACAAGCCACATTGGGGCCGCCATCTGCAGCAACGCAGGCCAGAGCCGAGCAGGACCCTAGCAGAGCACACGTTACCTACCTACCTGGCCCATGAGCAGGTCGCTTCACACCCTCTCAAAATATTCCTATTTCTTTTGTTTGTTTGTTTTAAAGGCTAAAGAAGCTACCAGTCCCCACAAAGTTAATCTCCCCCAGCCCCTAAATCAGTAACATCCCTTCCTGATCACCTCTAAACTAGCGTCCAGATTCTCTTCCCAGAGGGCAAGGCCAAGGGTGCTCCGCCCTGCGGATATAACACCAGCCACACGCACCGCGGTTCCTGCGGGAAGTCACACGCGCGGGCACACGCACACACAGGAGTTCCTGCAGGAGGTGACACGCACACACAGCCCTCCGTGTACCCCGATTCTCCATATGGAAAATGAATGCACGAAGAGCGTGCGCCCGGCACGGGAGAGCCAGGCCCGCGGCCAGCTGGCACGCCAGCCCCTCCGGGCGCCCCTCCCCCTCCCTGCTCCAGCAGCTCGGAGACCTTTACCTGCGGAGGCGGCGCCGCGAGGTCACAGGCCGCCAGGCGCAGGGACACCAGGCCGCCCCTCCCGGCGCGCAGGCCCCACCCTCCCACCTTCCGGCTCTTCAGCGCTGGGCCTTCCGGGGCGCCACCCACCTGGTCGCGCAGCAGCAGCCGCAGCCGCCGCCGCCGCCGCCGCTGCCGCCGCCGCGCTCTCGGCCCAGGCCCGGCTCCGGGAGCGGCCCTCCCGGATGCGGCACCTGGAGTGGGGTCGCTGGGGCCCCGAGGCCGCGCGCACCCCTGCCCTCCACACCGCCCACATCCGTTTTAGGTCCGGGTTCCCTTGGACCTTGCTCAAGCCCGGGGCTTTCCTGGGAGACCCTTTCTCTCTTTGGCCCTTCGCTCAGGACCTAAGGACCCCTCCCTTCCCCCCATTTCCGGCGCGGGAGAGAGCACGGCAGCCTTGACAAGTAAAGGCGCTGAATTAATATTCGGTGAATAGTCGGGGCAGAGTCAAACACCAGCTGGCCGCAGTGCGGGTACCGGCGGCATCTGGGTCTGGGGCTTTGCAAAGGCCTAGCGCCACCTGTGCTCCTGGGGTTCCAAGGGAAGAGGAGGTGCAGCTTCGGGGCAAAGCTGAGGTTGGGGAGGCTCTTGGGAGGGTGCAAAGGCTGAGGGTGGTGGGTAACAGAAGGGCCAGGGACTACTTTAGGGGGCATATGGAGAAGGCTTCCCCCCATCTCCTCCGAGCCCCCCAGACAAGATCTGGCCTGGAACCATCTCAAATCTGAAAAAGACTTCTGGGGGCTTACCCTGCACTGTCTCACTCAATCCTGACAGCAATCCTGCAACATAGGCATGGTTGCCACTGCCATATTACAGACAGGAGAAGGGAGGCAGCAAGGCGCGGAGAGATTGATCTACCCAAGGCCACCAAGATAGTGAGTATCAAGGTCCAGACTCCATATTGGGTCCACCTGCCTCAAAGCCCCTGCTTGTAACCAGCACTCTGCCTTGCTTTCCTGGGTGCTGTGGGCATCCAGAGGGTGAGCCTCTTTCACACTACCAGAACAATTTTGTTACTTTTCTTTTTTTTTTAATGGGTAAGTACTTTGGGTATGTTTGTTTGTGAACTATAGATATATAGATACATATCTCACTTTACTGAGGTATGACTGACATACAAAAAGCTATACGTATTCAATGTATACAAAACCTGATGAATTTAGGGATGAGTTTATACCCATGAAACCATCACCACCATCAAGGCCATAAATACAGACATCGCCTCTGGACGTTTCGTCCAGCCCCCTTTATTATTATGATGATTTGTGTTTGGGGATGTGGTAAGAATACTTAACATAAGATCTACCCTCTTAGCAAACTTTAGTGTACAGTATGGTATTGTTAGCTATAGATACTATTCTGTATAGTAGATCTCTAGAACTTAATTATCTTAGTTAACTGAAACTTTGTATTCTTTATCATCATTTTGTCACTTCTGTTTCCCCTCTGTCCCCATTGTGAGAAAGGGCCTAAAGCATTAACCAGGGTTCCCCTGGCCACAGTGAAATAACCCCATCCTGAATAGGAGCTTTTGTATGAGTTTGGGTAACTTTCAAGAGTGAAAATTAACCAAAGTTAAGAATAGCCCAACTCCCTGGGGTGTCTCCAGGCATGGGCCTGGGTGAGATTCTCCTGTTCCTCTGCAGGCAGCTCGCTCTGGCGGCACATTAAGGAACTGGGCCTGCTCACTTCCCCAGAGATGGGGAGGAGAGGACAGTGGGGAAGGAAAGATGCTGGAAGGGAAAGAAACTTCAAGTTGGGGACCCTCTAGAGAAGGTTAACTATAAGAAGCCATGCAAACGTACAACCCATCAGCAACTTGGGAACTTCATTCTGATATGAATAAAGTCATAAAATGCACACACCAAAGCCCATAAATATAACACATGGTACCACATTCTCATAATGGCAGCTGGACCTCCTGCGAAGTGGAGGAGGTCCCATGAATGAGGTGCACAGTGGGGTCTCCATCCTGGTGTGGTGACTGTGTACTGACCCAGCATCCAGCTAGTGCCTTCATAATGCTTATAGTCTTAAGGTCTGGCTGGATGACCTTGGGAAACTTCTCTGTGCCTCAGTTTCCTCATTTGGGAAATGACAGTAATAATAGTACCTGTCTCATAGGATTGTTCTGAAGATTAAAGGAGGTAATGTGTAGGAATCTAGATCATTCTTGTTTACATCATAGGTTATGAAAATGAACCTCCAAATTCCCAAATGTGAGCCTCATACGCCCAGAGTGGCAGGAAATTCAATTCCACCCCAGCCTTCATAATGCACCCTCTTCCTGGTAGACCCAACAATCTCCCAGGGTGCTAGGTTTTGTTCAGAGAGCCAGATGGAGCCAGAACTCAGGTGGGGTCCCCTGAGGCCAGCGCCCTCATTCTCCCCTTTTCCAGAAGATGAGTGAGGCAGCTCCCAACTTACACAGCTCTTTCAGGATAACCCTGCCCAGACCCAGGGCTGGATGATCCAAGCACAGGACACACACATAAACCCCTGCAATCTCTTAATAAGAGCATACGAGTAAACCAGATGTCATTTTCAAAACTAAAATGTGTTCTTTTTATTTGAAATGACCTCTAAGGAAGCACCATAGTCTGTCTGGTGCTTAAGGATTCCTGGGGATCTTGATCTAGCCTCGCAGACAGTCATTTGTCCCAAGGCACTCACAGAGCCAAGGTTTTGGGTCAGGAGAGGTTTCAGCCCCACATGCTGGGTCCAGGACATGTGGGGCTGAAAGGACTTCTGAGTCCTTAGCCCTGGAGGCAAAGGAGGTCTCCTCACCTCCCAGTCCTTCCCCCAGGATGCATTCCATTCCTTTCATCTGTGAAGTGTTCAACACACTTTTTGGCACATACCAGGTGTATTAGTTTGCTGGGGCCCCATAACAAAGTACCCCAAACTGGGTGGCTCAAAAGGGAAACTTATTGTCTAACAATAATATACATCTTTGTTTACTAAATAATTAGCTCTGTTACTTAAACCATAAAAATCACGATTCTCAGATCATTATATCAGAGGAACAAGAATGTTTCTGAATTCTTATAATCTGAATTTTGATTGAGGATCATTGAAGATCCACAATTAATCCATTGTTAATTAATAAAAGTGAATGGTTTTTAATGTGTTGAAAAAATAAAAAAGAAGTCCAAGGAGTTGGCAGGGCATGCTCCCTCCGAAACATGTAGGGGAGGATCCTTCCTTGACTGTTCTAGCCTCTGGTTGTGGCCACCAATCCTTGGTGTTCCATGGCTTGCAGCTGCATCTCTGCCTTTTCTGTCACATGATGTTCTCCCTGTGTGTCTGTGTGAGTGTCCAAATTTCCCTCTTATTATATGACAGCAGTCATAGTGGAGTAAGGGCCCACCCTACTGACCTCATCTTAACTTGACTACATCTGCAAAGACCCTATTTCCAGATAAGGGCGTACTCATAAGTACCAGGGGTTAGGACTTGAACATATGTTTGGGGGTGACACAATTCAATCCATAACACCAGTTATTCAGCAAATGCCAGCTATGATGATTATTATCCAAGCATGCACAGCATGCACATGGTACCTGCAAGCATGCTAAAAATACCACTCTCAGCCATGCCTTGTGTCGAGCCTGTTGTATACAGGGGACCATCCAGCCACCTGCCTTTAGTCTTGGGAGAGCTTAATTCCGAAAGGGTTGTTGAGGGACAAGGTGGCTTTGGGACTGGTAATGAGCTCCTCCTGGGCTTCATCATTGTTCTTCTAAATAAGTAATTCATCTTCTTCCTTGCTGTTTACATCCTTCACATATTTGTAGATGGTTATCCTGTCCCTTTAGTCATTACTTAGCACCACTCGACATATTTGCCATGGTGTTGAGTGTGTGCTCTCCTCATTGTCATGATTAGTATTATTATTTCCTCCTGGCCCACTCCCTGGGTCCCTCAGCCACCATCATCACTGTGTGAATCTCCTTCAGGTCCCCAGACTTTCAAGTAACAAGTTCCTTGGCATGGAACATTAGAAGTCAGTAGTGGTGACAAGGGATGCTTGCAGGCCCTCTGGCCCCCTACTCCTCTGTCATTTTTGTCAGTTTCCCCAAAGCCATATCAAATAAATAGACAAGCTAAGTAAAAACAATGTGCTTACGGTGCAAATACTGTTTCCAGACAAATCTCCCTGTCCCTGCTTTCATCCGGATAATCTCAATTTCTTCAACTCTAAAATAAGGATAAGAATTCCCGCTCTCAGCAACCTGGGATTACTGTGAGGTCTACATGAGTAAGAGAGTGGAAAAGTGCTTTGTAAACCACAAAGCAGGGGGAGTGGCGGTACCAGCAATGCCTTCAACATACGATTAGATTTCTGCAGAAAGTTCCAGGGGTCAGCTGTTCTAAAAAGCTAGAAATTCTAAGTTAGAATTTACAAAATGAACTTGATAGAACTGAGATTCACCCTAAAATCTGTTTGTTGAAAGAATATAGAGATGCCCTACTTCAAAATCTACTATTAGATTTTAGTATTCCAAAAAAAGTGTGGAACTCAGAGCTGGATGGGCCCTTGGAGACATGTTACAGATGGCCCTGAGGAGGCTTTGGAAGGTTATGCTGCTATAAAAGATTTTTTTTTTTTAATCCACCTTGTCTTCCATTTCAGATCTCACTGAAGAGTTCTTCTGTACCCAGAAGACTTATTTTCAG